TTGGACAAACACATATTTTTATTTAAAGCCAGCTACTGATTTGCCTGAAGCCGTACTCTCAGAGGCTCTCAAAATATTATTTAAAAACCTCTGACAGATCTATCTGATAATAGCAGAGAGAAGGATATATTTCAGGAAACACTGGAAAACAGCATGGCAGCGATCAAATTGATACTCATCAAGAAGGATCTTGAAGAAAAAATTCGAAAAGCTGTGATATCTGCATGTAGGATTAGATTAAAGGAGTGAATCTCGTCGTCTTAACGGACTTTAGTCCAGCATTCCACTCTGTCGATTGGTAGTTTTTATGAATGTTTTTAAATGAAATATGTATCACAGGATTAAGTGAACTTTATAGAGGCACTCTCCTCGAGCAACGCTGGACACGTAGGAGCCGAAGGCGAACTATGATCGGTCATCAAAAACGCGGTGAGCTCGATGATTATCGAACTCAGTCATAATATTACTGAACCGGACTACGTAACGCAACTCCGTGATTCAATCCAAATAAATAAATAATAAATTTAGTCTACTTTGATTCGAACTGTTACTGTGAATTATAATTACCGTGGTGGATAATTATTACCTTATTTACCCTGGTCTCAATCGTTGATTGTCACAATTTAAAGGAAAAGACAAAATTTTTATGGTGTCAACCAAAGGGGTATCATTTTAATTAATATAGCCTTGGTTATAGAAGCAAAAATTTAGCCCGTGAAAAGCAGACCAGAGAAAACCGGCCTTGTTTCAAACCTGTACGTTACTGTAGATATCAGGTTTTTACACTAGGATAGGTCCTGGAACATAGACACACATTTAGGCGTCCTAAAATAAATATCTCCCTGAAATTAATGGCGGCATTCGACTCCGTGACAGTGTCTGTCATTGCAAAGTGTACCAAAGAAGTATACTGGCTCTATAAAATCTTTCTGTCGAAAGACGACATTTCGAGTAGGAGCTAATACTGTCATTGGAATTCTTTACTTCAAGTGTTGTTAAACAGAAGATATACCATTATCATACTCTCGAAATTCATGAGTAAACCTTGTAAAATGAGACACGCTTGCTGTCCTTAAACATGTTGATTAAATAGGTCTTGTTTGTAACTTAACTCATACAACGTTTCTTGCATATGATTTTCAAATATTCAAAGATTGAAAACCATATTGGACAAATAAACATGATCAATAATAATCGACGGGAGGTTGTTTTATTATTTATAGTTCAACAGACTCGATTTCTATCCACAAGCTAATTAACTAGCCAAGTAATCACCATGAATAAAACAAATTCTACGTAACAAACGATATCATCCTCATAACAAGAATAGACTTAACAATTGATTCGAAATAATATTAGAATATATGGGGATTTGAGTATTTTATATCAGAGATTATTGATGTTAGCTAAATGACCGAGGATAAACAAGAACCACTGAACATCATTTATGACATAGGCAAGATTTCCGTTTTGACACCGAAAGACGGGTCTATTGCGCAGTTGTTTGCCTTGTCGTAACATGGCGAAACATGACCAGTAAGTTTAAAATATATTCATAGTTCGCTGTATTTAGATCACAGATTTCATCTACACATTTCTCGTTTTCCCTTGAATCACTGAGTGAGCAATATTGACTTCCGAAAACGGTTGGCATGTCAATCAACGAAGTACAGGAAATTCATCGGTTGGGATGTTTGGAGCATTTGTTATATGTGCCGATTCACCGAATGCCTCAACAAGCTATGTTTTGTGGTGCAGTACTAGGTTGGAAGAAAGCAAAACATAGCAGAAATTCATGGATTCAACAAAAGGAGGACTGAGTCACCGTTATTTAGAGACCTGGAACCACACGGCTCAAAATCGATTTCAGAGTGGCTGGTGGATCCATTCTTTGTTTTTCTCTCATATTCTAACCTTCGGAATTCCTCATCACCTCTTTCTCTTTCAATATTTATAGCACTAAATTATACTTCTCTAATCATATCTTCGAACCTCAATCTTCTCCGTTTCTGCTTATACTTCTACTATCGCTTCCAGTATAACATTTGAACTGTCAGTTGCGTCTTTGTGCTAATGCGGTATGGTCACCTGGAATGATATAGTTACCGACGACCTTCTGTGTTGTATCTGTCTACACTGCTGCACTTTACTAAGTCTGTTCTATGATGTAGATTTTATTATTCTTTGTTAGAATTATTGTTCTACATCTAACTTCCTCTTCTTTATTATTTCCGTTTTTTTCCTTTTGTTAATAAAAATAATTATTTGTCCTCAACTAACATGTTACAAGAGATATGCCAATTTAAAAGCAGGGTCAATATTTTATAATTACCAACATATTTTTGTAAAACGTTGTACAGTTATTGAAATATTTCACATGACAATTTGGCTTTATATAAAGATAGCCAAAATTTTCACATAAAATGATAGATAATTTTGCAGACTCTGCAATGTACAATGCGAATAATTGGCGCGAGTTACAATGGTGCTTTACGACGAGCTTCTAATGACTGCGAAAAAGTGAAAGGTAGAGACAGGTCTCCGTATAACAAGAATTGAACAATTTTATCATCTAAGATCTTGTTGATATTCTTCCTCTAATAAATTTACAGGCTACTGGTCAAGGTAGCCAGATCTTCGAGAAATATCCAGGCTGATATTTAACGGTTGCGAAAGGGTGCTGAAAACAGGAAATACATAGGATGTTGCGATGAGAAGAACTGGAAATGTTCATGTTTGAAGCCGAACAATGACTCAGTAGATACTTTTTTACACCTGCATTTATGAAAGTTCATATAGACAATTAAGTAGGAAGATAACGAAAGGACAACTAATCGTATGAACAGAGAAAATTAAGAAAAACCATTTTTTAAATAATGTTGATGTACTGAATTTAATTATGAGGCACAGTGATCTGATGCTGTTGTCATATTTTATTTGTTATTTGTAATTTTTACTCTGTAGTTCAAGCAGTCATTTATGAGGTCTCTTTCTGTAAAATGTTCTGGATCTGCTTGAAACAGAATCTCATTTTATGAAATTAAAACCAGCGCAAGGTTACAAACAAGATTGACAGAGAAAACTAATATCAGTACCACTGATTTGTTACATCCTGCTGTATCGTGAAGAGCAGTAAGGAAACAAAATCGTACGGTTCACAGACATTAGTGGAAGACATTATATGATCTCCCCACCGTCATGAATGCATTTCGGATAAACAAACCTCACTTCTTTTGTGATGACAGGCTATGATAGATTTCAAACCATGTTTTTCGAACAGTGCTCTAATTTTACAAAAACTTGTCGGAATACACTTTCTGTAAACGCTACACGTTATAAACTCACCAAAAAACTTTGTCTTGTGTATCCACCTAGCATTTTACTATGCTTTGAAGTAAACTAATGGTATAGGTTGTACGATATGTGTCAGTCAATAGGTAGTTTGGAGAAAGGAAGGACATGGAGCCACAGAAAAAAGAAACTTGAATGTTAAATATTATTGGGCAAAACAAAAAGTTTGTAATCAGGCAAGGTGTTTTAATGTCAGTATATTGGGGAATTAAAAATTTGTTAACTGTTATTACTTAAGCAAGTAAAACACATAATGATTTAAGAAGTTAGCGTTTCTTTTAATTGAAAGTAGTCAATCAACATCTACAGGCTTTTTATCTATCCATTTTAAATGAAAGTTCAGAATGTTTTGTAGATATGAAAATGAAGTTTGGAATTTAAATTTAGTGAGAAGTTCAAATGTCACGGGTTGCATCTCAAAGGCGTAACGTGTTAGTGGTAAAAGGAGAAGTGGGATTTTACTATCATTCTGAGATACCTGTAAAAATGGCAATGCAGGTATAATATGTGAACCTTATTCACTTTGCTGGATAACTCCACTGGTTATTGGTTTTGGTGATGAAATGCAATCGTTGTATTCAACCATTTGTTGGTGACTATTTAGTAATGAAACTAACCATGAATACAGCACGTTACTGATTCCGAATGACTTCAGTTTTAGGAGATGCCTCTCTCATTCAGTGTATCAGCTTAGAGAAGTGAATAAATTGTTCATTGTTTCTATTTCAGAGCAAAATCGCCTGACTGTACGTTAAGTCTACTGTATTTTCAAGTGAACTTTAGAATCCATATTGTTGGCATAGGTTTTTGTATCATTATTTCGTCCAAAGTTCAGTGACTCGATAATCACTAGTGAATCGATATATATATTGTAAAATAATTAGTGCATGTGGTTATAAATGACGGTGATTCTATTGAATTGTGATAATAAAAGGCTGAAATCCAGTGAGGTGAGTCCGGAATTTTTCAAAATTTGATATCAATTTTGATTTGATATTTGTCATTCGATTCTGACTGAACGACTGCAATGAATGTAGTGTAGTGATGGAGAACACAGATGAGGGTAACCGAATTGTATATATCGAAAATTACAGAGTAAATTGGTAAAATAGGAAAACCATATCGTTAACCGTTAATTTGCAAAACATCAGTTCGTCATCAACCCATTCTCTTACATTTCACTGTTCATGCGTTTCATACAAATTCCATTGTGTTCCCACTCTTCCTTTCTTGATCTTCCACCATCTGCCGCATCATATACTACTTATAAGTAGAGCGCACCACAGTAGTTTGATTCACTAAAGTTTGAATCGTGAATGACAGACAGATAGATAGAAACGTTTTTGAGATTGGCAGTTATTACACAGTGTACAGTCAACATCCATTGATAACTGCCCACATTACTGTATAAGTCCGACGTGCCCAACTAAGTTTTTTAACTTCAAAAAGTGATTATTGGTTCATATTTGCCAACAATACACCTAAAGGCGGAATGAATGTTGAAAAGATTTTCATTTATTTGTACATTTCATGTGTAAACCTATTGTGATTACTACTATCCGCATTTACAGCGAATTCCATCCGATTCGGAATAATTGATTTTGTACAATCTAAATATTTCAGCGATCATACCAAGAGCATCTGGTGAAATGTCGTGTGTTAATTACATAAATGTCTGTACCGATTCAAGCACGTGCATGTAAGATATTGATGTTGGTTCCAAATTTATCATTCTGCTTGATAGTTTCTGCCCAGACAAATGGAAAGATCCATTGCGAATATCTGGCCTGGTTTTGTTGTAAGTAATCAAAATATCAAACGTTTGATATTATTTTAAACATTTCTATTGTTTATCATCAACCAAACAAATGGACTTATAGTGATGATTATTCAGATCTACTCAAAATAAAGTTATCTGAATCGAAACTTTTTGCATTCTACAAGTGCGATTCTCCTTGTCATCTACTTTGAATATCTTTCGAACTCATCGACTTAAAAAAATGTCAATTATGTTAACTGCTCTCTATTCACTGACAATATTTAATAGAGGGCCACTATTGCAACGCACTACATTTATTGTTTGCTAAAGATCACTGTGTTATACATTTTATTTTCATATTTCAGAACGGTCGCACTATTGTTCGTACTCATCATAATTCTCATCAAAAAATTACACGTTCAATCTACAGGGAGTACCATCTTCATTATTATAACCGTTAGTCAAACATGATTTCGAATAAAGTTTATGATTTTGTACATTGTCACTGAGTTTTCAGAAATGTCATTTAATAGAATGTATACAATTTCCAGAAATTTGAGATGTGATTTCATAACACAGCAAACTGATAAGAATGGTGCAACTTTAGGAAACATCACTACATGGCATATCCAGCTCATGAATTATTCTGTCAAAGAGTAATATTGATATGTGCACGTGAGAAAAATAAGTCAGTCATAGCAGTTTAAGCAAAACGGATGGATGCGGAACGGACAATGGACAAATTGAAATGACAGTTGAATTACAGGGAGTACGAGCCTATCATGCTTGTTAGTATAATCGTTTGTTTTGAATATACAGCGATTTCTAAACAGAGAAGCACTTAACTGAATCTATCGAATATGTGTCTTCTTGTGTGTGTTTGTTTACTCCTGAAACTTTTATTTACCTTTGTGAAGGTCATCAATTGATGCTAGGGGTTGACTATAAACTTAGGTGATTCATTTATTCCACATATTGAGAAATCTTCATGTTTCATTTTCATGTCATGAATGATATCATCATACATTCACATGTGCAATAGATAAGTGAATTCGTTCAATAAGTATCTTACATTTTTCACTAAGGTACAACTAAATATAGAGCATAAACCAAACATTTATAAACGTGGGCAATAGACTTTCAAGCATAACAACTGAGGACGATGCTTGACAAGATTTTCTTCAGTATGTTTTATCGTTTTAGACTACTTGGCAACCATTGTCAAATGACGTTTTAATTGTCTACTTCTCAGGTATTTCTTATGATAGCTGCTATTGGCTTATGAACCACACGTGAGAGTTGGTACGAACTTATCATTGCTACTATTGTGTCATCAGTGTTGATGATGTACGCTTTTATATTAGATGAAAGGATGAAAGCTTTAGCAGGAAAATGGAAATTACTATTATTTACAGTTTCATGTATTTTGGCTTTCTTAGGAATGGTGTTTTCTATTATGAGCATAATAATCATAAGTGATTGCGACTCAAAATCCAAAGTGAGTTATGCATTAAAAACTTCAACATATCAAAGTGATTTACAATCGCATTTGCTCTATCAACTGCTGAAAATCTTTATTTCAATTATAACAGCTTACTTGATTTTATCAAATGATTACGGATGACAACCAATGATTTTTAGTGAGAAATATACACAACAATTTTGATGAAAGTAGACATTATCGTTGGAGCGAAAATTGAGACACTGTCACATTTATTCACCATTGGCGCGTACACAAAAAAATTTGAAATAAACGATCATGATGTGATGTCGTCTTTTCAAAAAATCATTATCCAAGTACACGCATCTCGATAACTTGTTTGGGGCAGGAAACTTCATTCAAATGAGAATGAAAAAAACCCGATGTAATCACGTCATATTTGCAAACGTTATACATATAATGTTTCGTTGTACTACTATCAGATAGTTTTTAAACAAACTATCACGATTGTAAAATAGAGTTACATTTTGGAAATTATAGATCTAAATCCTGAACTGAATCTCTGTTTTCTTATCAAACTCTCAGCAGGCAGCAAATATGTGAATGAATAATGTATCAGTTATGCAAATCAAATATTCACCAAATGATATAGTATGAAGCATCTTTGTTTCTTTATTCCAGATAACACCCTCAGTTTTGTCACTCGTTTGTTGGTGCTCTGCGATTTTAATCGTAAGTTTGTGGTGCGTTTTTGAATTTCTATTTAATTTTGATATCATAATAGATACAAAGGTTATTCATCGAAAGTTCCGACTTCAAAAAATGAATGCCTAAATATGATGAATCTGAACACGAATTGATGATGCTTCAACGAACTTCACGTTGCTGGAACGTTTTGGTCGGGAATATTTGATGGATAAAACGATTGCGCTGATCACCCACAAGTCTTTAGCCGTTAGGCAGTATATTCTTCAAAGGTTTATAGCCTTCATTTTCTCACGCAATCATGTAATGATTATTCCAAATGGCTCAATTAAAGTTGAACTGTAGTTGAAGTAGTATCAATATATACAGTAGTGGAAATGATTCAGGATTGAAGATAAGATTGAAGAAAATATAAATTAGTGAAACGCAATTCAGAGAATAAGTTACGAGAAAGAGAACATGCATCCGTCTATATCCTTGATTTCATCACAAAAACTCTGCCGCATTTCTTGTTGTTACTGATAATGTTGTTTTTCAAATTTTCGCAATAACAGGTCATTACGCTCACCACATATTACTTGATTAAAAACAGCAAATCAGAAAAATACTCAATATTTTATATGACTTTGATAATCACTTCCGAATTCATTATACTGCTGACTATTTCACTACTTCATATCAATTATTTCTTCTATTGTTGTTGTGCAAAAACTATTTCCAATATAAATGGAAATGTGTTCCCATTTGTGCACGTATTATACTTAAGACTGTAATCCAATAATTGTTATCTGATGTTCTCGGAGATCTCCTTTGAATATAATTCTTCAAAGCACAATACTTTTGGCTTATTGTGTCTGATTTATTCCATGTGTATGACGCGAGCAGGATAGTCAAAACTGTGCCAATAATGGTCGAAAGAAATAAGCAGTTCAGTAATAATAATTTCGAGCAGCAGGTTTTACAAATTATTAGATGACAGGCTCTCAGTGATAAGGAAGCTAACAAACATAATGATTGCTGAGTTGCTAAATTGCAAAGATCAGACTCTAAATGTCAATACTGACCATCGACAGTTCCCGTAAAGTCTAAATATTTGTATTTATTCTCCCATTATAACCTATTAACAAACCTGACTTAACAATGTACAAGACACTACTTTAGCATGATGACTGAGTTTCAATGTTTTTTTTATCAAGGACGACCAAATGTTGAGAATTAGTATGTTGAACGTTTGGAGAATGTGAGTTGTTGTTAAATTTCATTTGTCATGTTTTTAATTTTCAAATTACGCCATCAGTTGTTGATTTTCGAATGGACGCTTAAATAAATACAATTTTGTTGATGCTAAAAGCAAGTGCGTGACGTTCAGCTGTTTTCTGACTGAACCTTATAGGTAGCATTCGTTTTTGTTTGACGAGCCCACCATCAGTCACATGTTCTTATTTTAACTTAAGTAGTTTTAGGTTCCTTGCACTACTGCGACAACGTCACTGAAGTCGGCTCACTTTTCCTTACGGATGTGAGAATATATGAAAATAGTGACCGAACTTCATTGCTTCCTTCTGTTTGCTGCATTACTCACGCTCGTAGTAGTTGAGTGCCTTGTATAGACCATAAACTTAGCTTGCAGGAGAAGGAACTTGAATAAAACAATCGTTCGGTGAGAATATTTCAAACATCAATGATGAACACATTTTTGATACGAACGATGAATCGTTGGCAATTGACTCTTTATAAATATTATTGATGTTGACACTTGTTGTCTTATATTCTACTTCAATACATCTGTCTCACTGAAACTACATCATTAAGTTTACACTGATAAACATCACTACTATCAAGCAGAAGAGTGATTAGTCAAATGAAAACCCCTATATAATTCGAAAATTTGAAGTTTTTCTGAATTATCGAAATCATGAATCGATAAATCACTAAAAAAACAATTAGAAACCTGGAATAATTAGAGCACCATTTCACTCTAATATAACACTCGTCAATAATGAGCATCGACATTTTTTTAAGGAAAAATTTTCGGTGACCCTCACTGATGTTGTTCAGTTTCTAGACCACTGAGTTGATTTTAGAAGTTGCTGAAATTAATTAGATAGATGAATCAATCAATTCCAGAACACAGGAATTACTCAACGGCCTTTTTCATAAGCATGGCACCCCTCTGTCTTACTTCAACACGCATTTGAGCTTATCCTTATTCACATTGAATAGATCATTCGATTATTCAATCCTCAATGAGTTATTCGCATTGAAACTATCTTTGATCATCAATGACTTTAAATGTCGTCCAGATCGCACGAGCAAATATGGGTAAACACGGATAACCGCGTAAGGCACAGTCAACCTTTTTGCTTTACCATAAGCTTCTCAAATATTTTGATGAGTCATTCTTTTTTCTGTTTATATATGTATAAATCAGTCAGTCAGTTGCAACGTGGAACTTCGTACTTATGTACATAAGTTTGGGTTGCCATACAACATTAGCACAGAGACGCAAATGTCTAATCAAATCCCATAGTGATGGAAATATTAGAGGTATAACTGGCAATAAAGAAGACTACGGTTTGACGATATTATTCAATAAGTATAATTCAATGAGATAAGATTCGAAAGACGAAGATAGAGGTGCTGACGATTCCAGAAGATTAAGATTTGAGAGAACATGAGGAGTGAATGCACCTGCGCCATTGCAAACGATTTTGAGCCATGTCGTTCAACGTCTCTAATCATCGGTGAATTTCGTCTCACGGACCCTAACCAGGTAGTCTACATCTATCAACATAACACATTCCACTTGTCAGTGACTTCATGGATTTCTGCCATATTTTAGTTTGGTCGCTTCCAGCTTTCTTCCAACCTATTCCTACAGCACAAAACATAGCTCTTCAAGGCAGTCGGTGGTTGGGCATTAGTAACAAATTTTCCGATCACCTCACCTGATGAAGATTCAGCACTTCATATATTGATCTGCCATCTCTACCTAATACTCAACAATTTGTTTTTGTTGTGGAGGGAGACAGCATGGCGAAAATGCTTGCATTGTTGATAATGTTAGTCAGAAGACTCTGCACCTGTCAGCGTCATCACCGTAAAGAACTATGTCATTAGCTTCTTTTATTTCATTTGACGAATTTCCCGGTAGAAAATGTACAACTGTAAAATCTGACGAGCTTTATGTTAACACCAAGAAGATGTCTTCAACGAAGTTAAACAAGAATGGAGAGAGTGGACAGCCTTGACGGACACAACTTGATGCAGAGAAGTCAGATGACAGTTCGCCATGTGCTCTAACTTGACCAGTGATTTTCGAATGTATAGCTTATATATATGGATTTTCTACCTTAGCAGTTCACTTCGTTTCCAGTAGGTGCAGGTTGAACGCACTGTCCCGAATTAGATATCGAAAACACAATAATTCTAGGAGAAAGCGGTCTATTTTCATTATAAAATGGAAATACAAACAGTTGCCTAACTATTAGTACACCTGGTAATTTACAATTACCAATATGGGTATCCGATTCCAAAAGAATAAGTGCTACCAGTTCTTACTGCTACGGCGTCGAATTCAAATATGGCTGTAGCCATATTAAATATCAAATTTAAACAACATATATACAGTTCAGAAGCAAACATAAAAAATCCAATGTAAGTACAAGATACAGAAATAATAACAATATACAATGGTAAAATCTCAAAATGGAATCAAATAGAGTACCAAAATGTTCATAGAAAGAGTCAGTCTATCATAACACAAATATATACACATGGAGGGACTTTCCAAAAAACAAAACATTCAATATAGATTCTACAGCTTGTATTAGGTTAATGTACTTCTTCGGTGCACCTCCAAATGATGGATACTGCCACGAAACCTCACGATACACTGAGTAAAATGTCGCTTTGACATCTGAGAAGACAGCAATTTCGGACGTGTAAATGTGTGTCTTTGTTCCTGGATCTATTGTAGTTGAAGATGTGGTCCATGCGTCCACGTACATGTCTGAAATCAGTCTGGTTTTTCCGAGTCTGCTCTTCACGAGCTATAGTAAGGCGTCTAAGTAGAATCGAGGCTAAGGATTGAGAGATTCTAATAGTTAGACTTATTCCTCTGTGAATGTGACAAGAGG